TCATCATTTAAAAATGCTTATTATCAGGGATACATTGATCCTTTTTGGTCAGTATTTGAATTTCTTTTGAGGCTAACTGATTTTTTCTCCTCTCTTTTGAACTTTGCTTTGAACACTATTTTTGTCCAGATAAAATAAATCCTAAGTACAGCCTTTTAAAATTAATATGATCATCTTTCTGCATATCTTTATAAATATTCATCTACCACCATAGTACTTTAGTTTATTGTAATATGTATGATGTTTTAATAGCACACATTTCAAAGGACAGAGAAGAAAAAATATAACATCTTCCTTTTGTGAAATTGAAATATAACTTTTAAATATGTATTATTTTCAGTTTTGTGAAGAAAAAGTTTAACTTATTTTCTGAGTTCTAATGCAAATGAAATAAATAAGAAATCGAGTCTATAGTTTAATTAGCAGAATGAAGTTCTTGGCATTTGATTTCTTCATAGATACCAACATGGATAACTGTAACTTCCTTGGTGGAGAACACACATGATTCCATGTTCCTTGGGGTTTCACGTAGTTCTGATCACACCCATGGCTCCCCATGACGACAGGTTGATTGCATGCACTGAGTAGCTTCTTCAGTTCCTTTCTTATATTGCTTCTGCTCTGGCCGCCCTGCCTAACAATTCTTTGACCACACCTTTTCACATCTCCATACCTTGGCAAGTACTCTGTCTCCTCTCAGAACCCCTCTTCTTTTGTAATTCTTGGGCCAAATTTCTACTCGTCCTTTCAGACCCCCTCAAACATCACATTCTTTGTGAAGTAGTTTTCAAGGGTGAGATGATCTTTCATTTATCTTCATATTCCCACAACCTGCACAAGTCAAATTTATCTCAATTTGTACTGGACTGGCAAGCAAATGAACAGAAGGGGCAGGCCCATTGTGGGTGAGAGCAGTTCTGTAGGCTGACAAGCATGGACCCGTAGCCCTGCTTCTCAATCTAGAACTATGTGACCTTCATCAGTTTATTTCACCACTCAAACTTGGTTTCCTTGGTTGTGAAATGAGTGTCACGATCATACCTAATTCAAGAGGTCCTTGTGAAAAGAAAGTGAGATCCTATATACAAAGTCCTTTGCCTAATACTTGCTAAATAATTACCAATGTTCAAGGTATTGTTCTGTGTGTTTCCTTTAATTGCAGTGGGGAGACTGCAGTGTGGCTGCAACTTCACTAACTTCAGAGTGATAGGATCAGATTGAAATATTTGGGTTGGAAATCATGTACTTGGTGTGGCCATTACCTCATTTTTCTTCCAAACTAACTAGGGTAAAACTAAAAAAATCCAAAATACACTTAGTTGGAAAAATACTTATTAGAGTGTTCTTATTATTTTAAAAAATTGATTAATACATATTTATTGTATGTAATGGGGCATCAACATATAAATAATAACATCTTAATTTGTTTTATTTCTCCTTCCTTACCCTGACTCTCCTTCCATTTCTAGATCCCTTTCCCATTTGTAAAAGATATATCTCCCTGTTTCCTATTGTATATCTTTTATTTTACTTTTTAAATCATTTGTACATTGGATTTATTATATATTAGAAGGCATGTGATATTTAAGCTTGTATATATGATTTATCTCACTTAATATTATGGTCTAAGTGCATCTATTTTCCTGAAAGTGACTGAAATTTCTTCTTCTTTATAGCAAAGTAGTACTCCATTAAGTATGTATATAT